TACGAGCGAGCTGATGACCTGAATCAGGTGTGTTTGATTAAGGAGACATGCAAAAGGTTCAGTGTTGGGGTGCCTCCAGGACCAGGGTTGGGAACCACTGGTCTAATTTACAGCTGATTTGAGTCATCACAGAAAATTACATACAAAGAGAATCAAATTCAGGTAGATTACAGTAACATGGGCAAATTAAAAAAATATATAGTGACTTGTTGCTATGTTCTGAAACAGCCTTTAGAGGGAGTCAGAGGGTCAGGAGTGATTTGCTGACATGTCATTTGATGCTAATTGATGTGAGGTGACAGTGGCCCACGTCCGACGTCACCCACACTCTGTGCACCAGAGCTCAGATGAATGGTCCTCGTGAGGATCCGTGCCACCGTGACACTGCGTTACGCAAGAAGGCCCAGAGCAAGGTTTCTCTGGCTATGAGTGGGCGGCAGCCATTCTTATAGCTGCCCCAGGAATCGGGCTGTGGAATCATGTGCTAACCAAATCGCTCTCTGTGGCTGCTCGCATCGCGCTGTTGAAAGATGTCACAGTAAATAAATTAATTAGTTTTAGTTTGTTTTCATAATTTTGATATGTGCTTTTTTATTAGGTTTTTTTAAGTGTTTCACCTAATATTTAAAGTTTATCTTATTTCCGATAGCAATAGTCATCCATTTCATTTGATGTATAAATTATAAATTAATAATAATAATATTAATAATCATGAATTTAATATAAAAATAACATATAATGTGTGTGTTTATTAAAAAACATTACCTTTTATAATATTTTTCACCCCATCAATGTGCCACCTTTACAAAAAAAATTCTGAAAGAAAGTTCTAATTCACGAGAATTTTTTTTTGCCATCAGTTATAACCTAACAACCTTTACCTGTATAAAAAGATTTTAAATACTTTTTTTTAATATATATATTTATTTGTCTAATTCAGTGGTTCCCAACCCTGGTCCTGGAGGCACCCCAACACTGCACATTTTGCATGTCTCCTTTCTCTGACACGCCAGTTTCAGGTCTTGGAGTCTCTATACTAATGAGCTGATGACCTGAATCAGGTGTGTTTGATTAAGGAGACATGCAAAAGGTTCAGCACGTCCGACGTCACCCACACTCTGTGCACCAGAGCTCAGATGAATGGTCCTCGTGAGGATCCGTGCCACCGTGACACTGCGTTACGCAAGAAGGCCCAGAGCAAGGTTTCTCTGGCTGTGAGTGGGCGGCAGCCATTCTTGTAGCTGCCCCAGGAATCGGGCTGTGGAATCATGTGCTAACCAAATCGCTCTCTGTGGCTGCTCGCATCGCGCTGTTGAAAGATGTCACAGTAAATAAATTAATTAGTATGGACACAGTCAACGAGAGGCTTTGCTCGCAGCTGATGCTGTGACAGAACATGACAAGTCTTCAGATAGAGATGTTAGCATTGTGGGAGTCTGTTTGAAAAGATTATGTAATGGATTCATGGGAGGTGTCACGTGAAAATATGAAAGAGCTCATGAAATGGGTTCTTTCCTATTTAGAGTGCAACAGTAGTGGCTGTCTACTTTTTCAGTCGCTTTGGTTCCAGAAGTATATTTCTCATTCATTTTTCCCATAAGGAAGTCTCTTGGTTGAAGAGTTATAAGCCATGAACCAAACCATTGAGGAGAATCACAACATTACACACTTTGTACCAAAAAGTATTTGAAAATCAGATAAAGTTACAAGACTGTCTAGTGTTTACTTTTTTTTAATGAGAGAAAGAACTACAATCCCATGAAGCATTGCAAATGATATAATCAAATTAAAAACATTGTAGATATGTAAAACTATTGATTTGTTGATTTGAGATGTTGAAACATCTTTAAACAACAACATATTTTAAGCTTATGCAAAAAAAAATTTTCACATTTTATACAAACATCTAAGTAGTAGTTTTAATTCTCTGATTGGTAAAAAAAATTAAAAAGATTTTTAATAGCTTTAATTTTATGTAACAACAACTATTTTGTTTGCTATGTAAAATGTCTAGGAATTTTTTTAAATAATTATTTACTAATTAACTGATTAATTGACTAATAAATAATAATAAATGCAATATTGTAATAAAAGTAAATAAAATTATACATATGTTTTTATATTTTCAGTTTTCATTTTTAGTTCAAGTTTTCATCATTTTGTTATGTGCTTTTTGTCATTTTTATTGTTTTTTTAAGTGTTTCACCTAATAATTATATTTTATTTTATATATATTTTATATATTTAAATATATTTTTTTATTTTTTCACTTTATTTCAATTAACAAAAAATATTTTTAATAGGTTTAGTTTTAATTTTAGTTAACAACGGTCATCCAATTCATTTGCTTTATAATATATAGGACTTAAAAATGATTAATTCATAATAATTAAATAAATGGCAAAAAAAAAAAAAAAAACTTTTGATTTAAAGATGTTGATTATATCAAAACAACATATTTTATGTGTATTGCAAAATATTCACATGTATTCAAACATATAATTAGTAGATTAAATTCTCTGATTGGGGAATTATGGGAAATGTAGTTTTTCATTAGGAATCCTACTGTTAAACAATTATTCAAAAAATAAGGTGAAATAATTGCAAACAATCAGAAGTTCCCTTATAGAGAAAATAAATGGGATTTTTATTGTTTTATTATTTATTGTTTTGAAGTTTATTTTATCAACTTTTAGGAGAACCCTAGCATATAAATATTAGCCTCAAAGCTACAAAAA